TCTTCCCGCGCGGTTTCTTCCCGCCCCCCTCCCGCCCCGTTGATTGGTGCCGTATCTAGACTATTTTTGGGCCCGCTGTCTCCTCGTTTGATGGCTCGTTGTCGGCTGGCCTTCTCCTTGCCCTTGTGCCAAGAGGCCATAAACCTCTCAGCTCCCTGTAGCACCCCCGCGTGCCACGGTACCCCCCCCTCCACCTTCGCCGCCTCGTCCCAGTCTGGCTTCGGGATTCCGAAGAAGCTCCGCTTGTCGGGCGTGGAGCCGTGTCTGGCTTCGAACATCTTCAGGTCGTCCTTCAGGCATATCAGCCAGTTCTGCTCCGGGCTTCCCCGGCCCGGGTTCTCCCCTCCCACCAACTCGCCGAACATCAGCCGTTTCGGAAGCCGCCCGTCCGGCTGTCTTGCCACGGCCCCCGCAAAGAGCAGGCGCCGTTGACGGACAGTGGCCTCCACGCTCTGGCAGCCGACCCTCTTCAGCGCCTGGGCGTATGACAGCTGCCGGTAGGTGCCTCGTTTGCGCCGGTAGCCGATAACTCGCAGAAGCAGACGGTGGTGTGTCGTCTGCAGCAGCCGGTAGTGGTTGCGGCGTGGGGACCATGTCATGCAGCCGTATAGCAGTGCCGCCACTGCCTCTGCCTGGAGTAGGCGGGCCTTTAGGCGAAACGGTGCTCCCGGTCGGTCGAAGAGCTCCGTGGCGTATCGCCTAATGCACGCCCATGCTGCTTTGCTCCTGTGGTTGATCTCTCGGGTGAGGTCGCCCTGCTCGTTGATGAGGCCGCCCAGGTATCGGAACTCGGTCGTCTGTGCGTACCTTTGCCCCGCTGCTTTGATGGTCAGCGGCAGCGGTGGCGTCGGCGGCGGTCGCTGTTTCTCCTTCACCCGCATCACCAATGTCTCCGTCTTCCTCTCCGACACCGTCAGCCCGACCTCCCGGAACACCTCCACGATAATGGTCACATAACACGTAATATTGATTTCTTTTGTTACGTGTACAACCACATTTTGAAGAATCTTGAAAAGTGCTATGGTGTTGACCGGGACCAAACAAAGGGGGGCAACAACAAGCAAGTTGGACCGTCAACAACGACGTAGTCTTTCAGCCTTACCACGCAAATATCGGTGTTTGTACAAGCAAACAGCATACTCAAATACATTATGTATGTACGGTGTCACAAAATGTGGCGTCCTGCAGCAGCGGAGGTGGCGGTGCTGCTGTAGCTCGTAGACTTTGTAGTCTACCACAGAGGTTACACTGCTGTCACCGCTCTATCACAGAGGTTGGTCTACACTGCTGTGAGATCGGTAGGCCCGAGCGAGCTTTCGAAAGAGAAATGTAGATAGATGCTCTTATCAACTGACTCCCTGGTCAGGCTTTGATTAGTGCTAGATGAGAGTGAGCACAAGGGGCGAAGGCGCGCTTGTGTCTCATCTCAACAACAAAACAAAACAAAACACAAGCAGTAAAAACACAACAGGTTCCGAGGGTCTCCGGGGTAATGGCCCGAGTACCGGAATTTCGGGGTTCGCAACAATAAAACCACTACAGTCTCGCGTGCCAAATTATCTCCGCTACAACTCTGTGCTCATCATGTTCTCTGCTGAGTACCATCTCTTCTTTCTGTATTATGTCTACGGGAGGCTAGTTGCCGCAGTCGCACCTACCTATGGTAAACTGTGCCTGCCTACGTTGTAACAGTTCTCCTCGACACGGTGTTGTGTAGTTCGGCATCAGCAACAGACGCGAATGTAGTCTATAAGCAGTAGTTAGTTGCAATTTTTGCGTTGAGCTGATGTTCTGAAACATGGCCGAACAATGGTCCGATCGATACCCGGACATTAATGTGCACGTACTATGGTTTCTTCTGCTGTTCTTTTCTTCATGCGTGTTTCCGATATTCCGCGTACATCTCTGCTTCTCCTTCAAGCGTACGTCATTTATTTTCGTATATTCCAAGTGCGATGGTGCCGACATTCTATTTACGGACGCCAAGGTATTTGTTGCGAAATAAATTACACGCCAAACAATATTATTATTGTTCTGGATTAGTCTAAATTGCCTGCAAATTTCGCCCTTCTCCGCCTAATCCGTGGCCGCCGTGTCGGTCACGGCCAATGCACGCCTAATCACACAACAATTGGAAGGGTTTTGCTTCCAGGCGGCCGTCCCGCCTCATCGGTGGGCGGCCGCCTGTCTATACCCTAGTATAAACTATGCACATAGTTCGGGCCCACTCAAGCCCACTTGACGTTTGAATTTCGAGTAGGGGGGCGGAATCCCTTTTGTCAGCCCTCCCGATCGATGTATCTACTACGTGTGTGTGTGTAGTCTATCTAGTGTTTGCAAGGTTCGTTAAGCAATCCATTAGCTAGCACCGGTAGACATGCGCACGCAACAACAAACAACAGTAGTGGGTGTTGCGAGCTTCGGGTGAAAAGTCGGCCAGAATATTGCATGCATACAACTGCAGTATTACTGCCTGGCAAACAAGAAGCTAAGGTAAGATCAAACAATAAAGAAAAACCGGCGAGTGACAAGTGACACAAATACAGCCCACTTAGGCGCGACGATTATGAGGTGCTGAGAAAAAAAAGTTGTGTTTCTGACGAGACCGGCCACGCTACCTCCAAATTCAAGACAAACCAGACTACACCGTCGGTGCTTGAACAGGTTCGTTCGCGTATTGGCACATGAGACTCAAGCTCATTTTGGACCAGTAGTGGACTAGAGGACGTCATGGAGCAGCCATTGCATTCATGCGCGGTTGCAATCTCAGATCTTCCTGGTTGCTGCAGAAAGGGGGGCCGTGATATCAAAGACTCCAGCAGCTCTGTACGTATATACATGTAGCTGCGGTTCGAAAAATCGCGGGAAAATCCGAAAATTTGTGAGTCCAAAAACTATTTACCACAAGAAAGAGCGCAACCAGACCTCCACAAAACTGCCATTTTAAAACTTTGGCACTCAATTGCTCGTTGTCAAAGATCCAACCCCCCGCACAGGCTGTGGGTGTATGCACATTCACCAGTCCCTCGCAATGCCCGCCACTACGAGCTGGCCCGGACGACCGGCAGTTCGGGGCTCGGGGCGCGTGGCGCGTGGCGGCGAGCGCTGGATACATTGCTGAGTAAGAAGTTGTTGTGGACTTGGTATGTTGTGTGCGTGATAACTACACACTGACATGCAACAGCAGTTCTGGTGGACATCCTACACAGCAGTGCCGGCGTCATTTTTTGTTATCATGAGTGGGATCTTGTTCATCAATGAATGCATAAAATGGATGCTGAGCGTGCGGAAAAGGGACCTGTGTGGGCGTGTGTTGTGTCCAACAAGGAAGATCGAACACGACCTTCCGATGTTGTTGCCGATATAGCCTCTCTGCTCGATCTTCGGCGCTACTACTGCTCTAGAGGGCATCATGGCACATTCAGATATATATGACGTGATGATTTGGAGCCCGTCTGTGCCGTTGGCTCACCAGAGGTTTCACATGGAGGCATGAACAAGTTGGTCTCGAAAGAAGAGAATGGCCGTAAGAGGAGCTGACCTGGTGGATGGGAGAGCTGAGTGATTCGTAGTGTGCTCAGCCCAACTCTGCCGTGTGTGAAAATCGCTCCTGTTGCGGTGCGGTGAGGGTGGGTTGCATCCTACTCACGAAAAACACTCCGGTGAAAACATTTCCCTTTTTACGAAAAGCAAGTCCAGTCTATCTACCGAATTTTAACCACTCCAGGAACACCAACCATTGCAGGAACGGCAAGGATCAGCACCCGCGGGACTTTTGTTCGAGGGACCCAACGCCATTCTTCCTCTCTCTCACTCCTCACTCCTCTCTCCTCTCTCTCTCTCTCTCTCTCTCTCTCTCTCTCTCTCTCTCTCTCTCTTTCTCTCTCTGTTCCTCTGACATAGAATGGAGGAAAAGGACAACANTCTCTGCCTACAGTCTATTTATTGGTGCCGAGCTGTGTGGCACTCAAACGGAGATGTTTACAACCGCATGCAGCGGGAACACCATATCTCAGCCCCTTTTCTCAACCGCACACCGGTATGTGTAGTAGCTGTCGTATCCTTGTCCGCCCGGCGTGCTGCCGTCAGCTGTGAACCTAGCCGGTAGATTGAATGACCGGTAGGTGGGCGGCGAGTGTGTCACAAATAAGGCAGAGTGAGTTTTTCTCGCTAATTAAATCCCGGTCTCCGTTGGAAGCAACGCGCTGCAAAGCTCGTTGTTATTATAGTAAACTTGATCGACTTCATAAGTCGCGAGAGAAGGGATTGCTGTACCCTTCTCGCGATAAAAATATGTCAGGCAGGAACCGCAGGAGGGGGTCCAACCCCCCCCTCCTATGTGACCCCGGTTGGGTCGTCTGGCTGGTAAAAGTGGAGGATAGGGGCCAGAGGGGCAGACGGCAGAGTCCAATGATGGGAGAAAAAAATATATATACTTCCTCTGTATCATAAGTCTGGTCTGTTAGGTTTATACGCCGCCGTGACGATGTCCGATCTGTTTTTCGTTTTTTTTGTTGAATTCTACGGCGTTTTTTTGGCAAGAAAACGTTTTTTGCTTTGAAGCTGGTGCTTGAACCATAGTCTACGACTAAACGGCCGGAAAACTTTGAGTCGGCCCAAAAACGCCCATATTTTGCCCTTTTTCGGGGGGTGGGGTACGTGGGGCATCGAGCCTAACCCCCCCAAAAACACCCAAGAACTATCCCCAACCCTAAAGCTAACCCCGCCTGGACTCAGCCATCCACAATAATACGTCCCTTTCTTACGCACCCAGCCAAAGGCTAAACATCAACGTGTAAATATCTTAACTACTACACGCACATAACAGACCAGACTTATGATACAGAGGAAGTATATATAGATACATGCATTTTCGGAAGGCAAAATAAATATATATATATATATATTTTACGTCCATTTGGTGTTTCGGTTTGATGTTTGACATGTTCCAACCGAACAGTCCAGAATAGTCGCTCCCTAAGTGAAATAAAAAAGTGAAAAATTTGTCTCCACTATTGTAGCTAATGCTTGCAGCACATGTGCATCACTTCCTAAAAGAATGCCGGGTCACGTCACACATGGCTTGCATGAGAATGATTCTCCTGAATCGGGCGAAAAAAAAGACATGTACACAGGACGCCAAGATGCGGCCATGATGCTTCATGTACCTACAACGCTGTTGTTTCCGCGCGAGAAAAAAACGTTTGACTACACCTACCTGTAGCCAGTCGGCTACGCTGCCAGGGTGGGGAGATATCACCCCGGCGAGGTCACCCTAAGAGACTACCCTAACAACATATTCGCCTGATTGAGAGCGTAGCATCTGATTGAGAGCGAGATTGCGCGATACGCTCTAGCCGGACTAACACTGAGAGGTGGAGCTTGCTGTGTAGCTTGAATTGAAGGGCTAGCCCGTAGCTTCAAGCCGCTACCCTGGTCATCCTGTGGGAGTCTCTCGTTGTGGAGCTACAGCGGGGAGCAGAAGCTACAGCAGAGCCCACCGCCCGACGCGATACCGCCCTGAAACAGTTTGAGCAGAAATAGCCAATCTGGGCAAATCTAGCAACTTGTCTAGCTCCTCGCTGCAGCATCCGATGACGATGACACGCATATGCTCGCGAAGCTGCTGATGAGACCTTCAATTTGCACCGCTTCTTGGAATAGCCCGTCCCCTACTTGCCAAGAAATGGCAAGAGGCGTCTGGACCCGAAATTTCAATTTTTTTGGCTCTCGCTCTCAATCAGATACTTCGCTCTCAATCAGGCGAATATGTTGTTCCCTGCAGTCTTGACCCGGCTGCAAGGTGGTTACCCTGCCAGGGTAGTACCGATCCCACACACACCCTGTGCGTACCTTGCCACTCAGGGACCCTCGCGGGGTACACACCCTGGGAAAACCCTGTAAAATAGAGACCCTTGCGCTTATAATAACGGCGGGGAAAAGTTGGAGATTTTCCGCTTCATTTCTTTCATTTATTGTCATGTTGCGTCCCTCGCAGCAGTATTTCGTGCGCCTTCACGTACAAAAACGCTCATCGCTCATCGACACCATTTACGGTAGGTAGGATACACCCCGAAACCCAATCCATCAACAAAAATCCACAATATTGGGGCTCAAAACCCAAACTTGGACGACTACTTTCGACATTGCAAAACGTAGTCATGACGTGCACCAACCAACAACTCAGAACGCATCGTGAACCACACCATCTATGAACATAAAGCACAAAAATTACCCAAAACAAAATGCATGAACCCATTCCATCACTACCAAAAAATTGCACTCCTTGCTTTCAGGTTCAAGCAACTTGCATGAACCCGCTCAAGCCCACATTCTTGTGCATACGGAGACTCAACTCAACGAAATGAAGCTCCGACCAAACCTATCTGCCTCTTGTTCGTAGCACCTCCATACTTGGGTGCCCCTCCCCCCGACGACACGCAAAACAACCTCAGCGTTGTGAGCATCACGTCCAAGGTTCGCACGTACTTATCAAACTGCAGGCGCATGACGCGTGCCTCGATAATACATCGTGACAAAAGAAAAGTGCTACCGCTCCACGAGACAGACTGCCAATAGACTATTATTGCCGAACGCTAATTGAAAGCAACCCGCTCCCTCCTACACCCACCAAACACCACACCAAGCACTAAGCCCGAGAACATTGCCAGCAATATCGCGACCCATGCGGATGCTGAGCGCTGATCCGTTCATCTCGTCGAGAAATGCGCCGAGCTCGGCATCGTCTACGTGCACGTCTGCGGCCGGGGTGTCCTCCACGATGAGATTGTCGTCCCCGCAGGCGCATGCCGACAGTAAGCGCAAATTCTTGGGGTTCCCATAGTGCGACTTGGCGATAGTCCGGAGTCCGGAGGCAATGCGATGCGGGCCTGTCATGAACTGCAGCATGGAGTACCAGAAACTGCTCCAGAGTACGTAGGGAAAGGGAAGGCACAGATGCGCAACGATATGAAGCAAAAAGTTCATGTTTGACTCCAGAGTCGACGAAAACTCGGTTAGGTGGGGTGACAAGCAAAGTGGGTGACGAGCATGAAGAACATGAGATTAATACTATTCAATGCCGTGACGTACAACATGGAGGCAAACGATTGTGTTGGTAACAGCACAAGAGTAGGAGGTGGGGGGGGGGGTACTCATAGTCGTGCATGTCGTAGTCGTTAGACCATTGACCTCGCATCCCTACAAAGCCGGGACGGAGCACGCCGGGTTCTCACCAGACCAGGCTCTCACATCACCAAGCGCGAAGCGCCGTCAGGTGTTTGGCGAGTCGCATGAAGGGTGCGCTGCATCCTGCTAAGGGTTTCGGCATCTTGTGCTTACTTCCTTGCAAACGGATGACAGCTGGGTATGACTTGATTTATTATCTAGTGCTTCAGGGGGGGATCTGAAAAAACGAAAATACCACACCCGGGACGACTCTTATCGGGGAATGTCAGGAAAAATCGTGCGTCGAGACCACCAGTAGTCGGACACGGTTTGACCTTTGAATACGATTGCAGCAACTAGTCTGCGTAGCAGTAGAAAATAATCTATTTCTCCGTGGCATCTATTCTCTTGTTCTAGAAGTATTCTGGAAGCATGCCAGGTCAAGGTCGACCAGGACATCTACGTAGAACGTGTTGTTGTTGTTGTTGTTGTTGTTGTTGTTGTTGTTGTTGTTGTTGTTGTTGTTGTTGTTGTTGTTGTTGTTGTTGTTGTTGTTTT